TCAGCAGGATTTGCCCTCACTCACACTCAGGGAAGTGCCACTTGGGAATGCCCCTTTGTATCTGGGACTTCGCAACGTCGTTGTAAGACAGGACATGAAGCGAAGCCCCGACTGCGGGCATCTCAGAACGATCTTTGCTGTCTGTTGTCGATCTAACTCCTGGCAGAGGCTGAGCCAGCACAGAGCAGCAGCTCCAGTTGAAAGCCAAAGCCGTGTGAGCCATTTTCAGCAGCTCTGCTGCCTGGTGATAAGCCGCCGCTTTTGAAGCAGAAGAATCACTTGGAGCTGCTTCCTTTCCCACAAAAAGAACATGCTGTCCTTGGATGGATTGGCACAATAGCTGAGAAATATTTTTAGATGGAAGCGCTGTGTTGGTTCCCCACCTTCGCCACCTGCCTGGCAAGAGTTATTCGAAGAGTGACTGCCAAACCCTTCTTCCCAGTGCCCACTGCCCTCTGTGGGATGCTCAGCACTGTCTCTGAATCACGGCAACCAATCACGCAGAGTGAGGGCAGGGACGTGCATGCTATACTCCCAGCATGTGATGCGCTTGTGAAACCACTGTAGCCACGCAATTGGGGTTTTGCATCTAGCCCCCCCCCCAAAAAAAAAGTGTTTTGAGCACATCCTGAAAGACACATGTGACTAGAGATGGGCACGGACTGGGAAAATGGAAGTTCGTGGTGTTTTGTGGTTCATGGGGTCTCACGAATGACAGTTCGCAAACCTTCACAAACTTTTCCATTTGTCAAACCGGTTCGGGTTCGAACACACGGTTCGTGATTGGGTCCGTGCCCAGGGCTATTTTGGGGCAGGAACGCACAGGAACGGAGTTCCGGCTGGCTCCCGAGTTGGCCACGCCCAGCAGGAACTCATTAACATAATAGGCCACACCCAATGGCAGAAACGCATTACGATTGGCTACATTAGGGGTGTGTGGCCTAACATGCAAAGACACTGCTACAAAAAAAGGCCCTGGGTTTTGACAACAAACAAGGTAAACAGAAGAAGCAAAAGGTGGGTGTGACTGGATGACCACACTTCTGGTAACAAGGGGTGTGTGGCCTAATATGCTAATAAGCTGTGCTATCTGGGTGTGGCCTAATATGCAAATGTTTTTTCCTGTTGGGTGTGGCCTATTATGCTAATGAGTTCCTGCTGGTCTTTTTCTACAAAAAAAGCCCTGTTCGTGCCCATCCCTAAACGTGACCGCTGAAACTTGTCCTTACAGCCCGCTTCTCCCTAAAATAGCCATCTGTATCCCCATCTCATTTTTGCCCATTGACTTTCAAGAGGATGTCACACTTATGTGAATGAAAGAGGGAGGGACGCAGCCCTTAGCACTAGTTATAACTGCAAAGCCAAGTGAATTAATTTACTTTTTGTTGCACGCGTTCATTTTTCCTTTCCTCCCTGTTTAATCATATGGTGGTTCCAGTAACTGGGGCAATCCCCATTCTGCGTTATTCCACAGGGCTGAGTTCTCCCGGGTCATTTTGGACCCTGCTCCATCCAGAGGGCATTCCTGGCTTGCCTGGCAGGAGGCAGACCTTCCCAAGCTGGAAAACCAGGCTCTGATCAGAACTGCTCGCTGTACTGAGCATTGCACCGGACATATGCTTCAGTCCAGGAACTGCAGTTGGCTGCAAAGTGGGCAGGCTAAAGTGAGGCCTCCCATTCGGAGTTCAGAGGCCTTCTGGGGCTCCTTCATGATGCATGCTCGATGCACAGGTGGCCTCTTAGAGACAGCAAAGTTTTCTGCTCCTGAGCAGTGTTCCCTCTAAGCAGCGTTAGTGTGAGCCAGCTCGCAGCTTTTTAGCCTCCGGCTCACACGTTTTTGTCTGCGCTCAGGAAGGAGATGGCTCCAGAGCAAACTAATTTATGCAGCAGCCAAATCGCTCGCTCACAACTTTAGTGCCGGTAGCTCACAAATTAGGATTGCTCACAAGGCTCCACAGCTTAGAGGGAGCATTGCTCCTGAGCAGGCGACCGGCTGTGTTTAGACACAGCACCAAACCATTGCTTCGACACTTCAGATAACTGAAGGAGTGTGGTGAGTGGCCAACAGGTTTGGATAAAAGCCCTGTCCTGTCTCTTTAACAGTGGCTCGTGTGGAAATGGGAAGTCAAAGGTTTTTATGGCAAGCCTCCGTTAAAGGGACAGGCTTTCCCCCTCCTCCAAGCAGCTGGTAAGCTGAGCTGTTACAGGGAGATGCGGTAATTCTGCTTTTAAAGCAATGGAATCTTTAAGCCAAATCCCCAGTAAGACAGTGCCAGGGATGCTGTTTGTTAAGTCCATTCCTTGAGTCGACAGGGCAAGTACCATTAGAGTCAAGGCCTTAGACATGAAGTTTTCAATGGACTAAGCAACATTTGGAGAAGAGGATGGCCCAGCATCTGACCAAAGGAGCAGCTTGCCTTTGGCGGGCCAAGCCAGGGCCACCACTGACCATGGAGCAGCGTCTGATTCTTGGAAGTGAAGACGAAAAGTCACGCGGCTGCATTCTCCCCGCCCTGACTTCTTCTCCTCTCGTCTCTTTGCAGCTGAAATGAAGGCTCCAAAGCGTCGACACCCTTTCGTGCCCTTCGCCCTGCGGAATCACACCGGTTGCACTCTCTGGTTTGCCACATTGACCACCACCCCAACCCGGTAAGAAGACTTGGGCAAAGAAGGGGGGAAATTGAGGCCTTTTACTTGGGCAAGTTATGAGCTTCATGTGCTTTAAACTGCCTTGGGGTTGGGGTTCAGGACTTCTCTGGCAGATTATTTATTTATGTACCACATTTATACTCCACCTTTCGGCCCACTAGAGACTCAAAGCAGCTTCTGTCGTTCTCCATTTCATCCTCCCAACAATCCTGTGAGGTAGGCTAGTCTGAGAGCATGTGGCGGGCCCAAGGCCCCCCAGCAGGCTTCTATGGCAGAGTGGGGATTCGAACCTGAGTCTTCCAGTTCCTAGTCCAGCACCCTTAATTATTGCACCGCACTGCGTTATTTCTTTTTCTCCTCCTCCATCTGTGACTTGCTTGCTGCAGTCTTTGGTGTATAGCACACTAAACCTCATGGAGGAGGAAGAAAAGAGTTGAAGAAGAAGAAGAAGAGATTGGATTTATACCCCACCCTCGGAGTCTCAGAGCGGTTTACAAACTCCTTTCCCTTCCCCTCCCCACAATATTTATTTATTATTTATTTATTACTTTCGTCTTACTATCCCGCTCTAATCCCCGAAGGGGTCTCTGAGCGGCTATACAGTTATCCATTATCCCTATCTAAGGCCACAATTCATCAGGGGGGACATCCCTACCAGCACCCAGTGGAGGGGGGGGGGTTCTTTCCTCGGGTCGGCTTTTTTTTTTTCCTTTCAGCTGCGGCTTCTGGCTCCTCTCTTTTTCTGGCGGTCCTCTGTGAGGTAGGTGGGGTTGAGAGAGCTCTCTAGAGGACTGCTCTTTAAAGGACGGCTCTGACCAGAACTATGGCTTGCCCTAGGTCATCCAGCAGCTGCAAGTGGAGGAGTGGGGAATCAAACCCGGTTCTCCCAGATTAGAGTCTCTGCACTTAACCACTACATCGATGTCGTAAACCAGAGGGGTTTTCTTTAGCAGGCTTTAGAGGTTTTATCTGTCTTAGATTCAGATGCACACATTATCCCTATTAAGATGCAAAGCGTGACAGTTGAGATGTCCGATTTCCTGCAAAATGTGACCGTCTGGTGTGACTCTGCTTTCAGTGCCGCGCTCTCGCACAGCGGAAGCCCCGGTGTCCTTCCAGAGGAAAACGGCACATTCCTCGATGATGCGCACAAAGTCAGCGAGTGGCGGGAAGTCCTGACGGGCGAAGAGGTTCCGTTTGAGTTTGAAGCCAGGGGGAAACTGAGGCACAGGTGAAGAACCACCGTCCATGCTGGCTATCACATTATAATGCTTGAGAAGCCGCCTTTTTATGGGGCTTTATTTTAAGGGGCTTGGGGAGGGGCATGCAGAGGGCTCCACCTCCAGTCCTCAGTATTCCCAGTTAATGATCTTTGCCTGAGAACTTGGAGGGGTTCCACCAGGCAGACAAGATGCTACAGGGCTACATGAGCCATTGTTCTGGCTTGGTATAATTCATTTCTATGATTTTATGATTTGGGAGAAGCCACGACTCAGGTTTAAATCACCTGTTTTGCATAGAGAAGGTCAGGTCAGTCTCTGGCATCTCCACTCAGAAGGACCTCAGGCAGAGGTAATTTTGGGGGGGAGGTGCAGGGGGCGGGGCACATGACGAAGCCCCGCCCCCTGCTTCCGGCCGCCCCGCTTCCAGCCCTCATTCAGCCAGGAGGAGACAGGAGAAGAGGGAGGGTAAGTTGCTTCCTCCCCGCCTCTCCCCACCCCTGACTGCCTGGGGCCAGGGAGGGCCTTGGCGGGGCTTCCTTGCACTCCTGCCGGCCTTGCAGGTGCACCGCCGGGGCCCTTACGAAATGACCCCTGACCTCAGGTAACAGAATTTGGGGGAAGACCCTTCTCTGTCTGAGACCCTGGAGAGCAGCCTTCAGTCAGAGTAGGCCAATGGTAGGAAGGCAGCTTCATAAGTTCATCGCACTGTTTTGGGGCGGAGGCCTTGGCTGAGTAGCTGAGTGCTTGTTTTGCACACAGAAGGTCCCAGGTTCAGTTCCCGATATCTCCGGTCAAAGCATTCGACAGCCATCCAACCTGAGATTCTGATTTGCTGCAGCAGTAGAGGCCAGATGGATTTGTTGAAAGGAAAAGAATAAGAATGCTTATAAAGCAAAGTGACAGTGTCTGTGTTAACTGGGGGGGGGAACCCGGGGGGAACCCACCCTGTCTTTAATTAGTCAGACAGGATAAAAAGTTGCAATAAACATAGTTATACATGTTATGGATTTCCAGGTAAACCCCCCCCCATTGTATAGACCCTTCTTCAGAGACCCGTAGCCAATATTCCCTCTAAGATGTGGAGTCCTGTAAGCAAAAATCCTACTTTGTGAGCGACTGACATTAAAGTTGTGAGCAAGCGTTTTGGCTACCGCATAAATTAGTTTGCTCTGGAGCCATCCTCCCTGAGCTAAGACAAAAATGTGTGAGCCGGAGGCTAAAAATCTGAGGTAGCTCACACTAAGTCAGCTTCGCGGGAACACTTACTTCTTGTAAGTTGATACCACAGCACTACTGGAGGAAATAATTCTGCAAGAGACCGACGAAGAAGCGAACACATTTTATCCAGTGTAGTGTAGGTGCTGGTAAAAGGAACTGCAGTGTGCTGAAGCCCTTCAATAAAACAAGATTGTTATCAAGCGATGCTCAAGATAACGAAATCCCGCAAATCCAAGTCGGTTAAAAGATCTACCTTCCGCCTTTCCCAAAACAAAGTCAAGACAGCTTACAGCTCAGAGGCCCCATGGTAGCCAAGGACAGCAATAAAACCCAATTGCAGTGGAACCCAGAAGACCCCCCACCTCCCCAAAACCAAACCACCCAAGAATGCGTATGTGTAAGGTGACTTCAAGTCACAGTTGACTTATGACGGGCCCGTAGGGTTTTCATGGCAAGAGATGTTCAGAGATGAGATGAGGCTAGCCTGGCTACCCAGGTCAGGGCGACACACTAACTGGTGGTGGAAAGTGCCGTCAGCTCTCAGCTGATGTATGATAGCCCTGTAGGATTTTCAAGGCAAGAGACGGACAGAAGTGGTTTGCCCTTGCGTGTCTCTTCATAGTAACCCCGGACTTCCTTGGTGGTCTCCCATCCTAGTAGTAATCAGGGCTGACCCTGCTTAGTTTTCGAGGTCTGATGAGATCAGGTTGGCCTGGCCCATCCCAGTCAGGGCACCAAAGAATACATTGTCTGGGGGCAAAAACAAGTTTAGATGAGAAGCAGTATCTGCGTGTCACTAAATGAGACTGGAACCAGGGGCTTGGAGCTGATCCAGAAATCTTGTTCCATTGGCCGTCATGTTGATCTTTGCCTTGCTCTGTGCCGGCAGGCACACACACGACCTAAGGATTCATCAGCTGCAGGTGCGAGTGAACGGCTGGGAGCAAGTCAGTCCGGTCTCGGTGGACAAAGTGGGGATTTTTTTCCGATACGCAGCCCCCGACAAGAGCACGTCTTCATCGACCGTAAGTTCTAGTTTCAGGTACCGGGGGGCGGGGGGGTTGGTTGATAATGCTGTTGCAGTCTCTTCTGTCGGCAGTGGGATTTTTGTGAGTGTCAGTGGTGGGGCTCCCCCCCCCCCCTTGAACAAATGACTGTGAAGACCTTTGACTGCTTTTGCTAAACTGAGAATAATAAAGCCCTGGTCCCGTAACTGGCCCAGAGGTTCATCTGTGGGAAGTTGACCCAACTTGCATTAATTACCCTGTTCAGATCGGCTGGGGGTGTGTGTGTGCGCTTTTTGGTGGCTTTTTTAAATTACAGAGTCAGAGTAAATTTTTAACTTTACTTATATTTGTTGTGGAGAAAATCGGAAGTCACTTCTTTATATTCATTATATATTCTTTTTTTCTCATCTCTTTTCTCTTTTTTGTTTTCTTTAATTTTGTATTTTTATTTCCTTTTTAAAATACCTGTTGTAAAAATTCTTAATAAAAATTATTATTTAAAGAAGGACTTAAAGCAATTGCATTTTCTGGATATTTCTTTTTTTTATCAAACTTTTTTATTTTGGATATTACAACATGTTCAAAATTACATCTTTTCCTTTAACATATATCCATTGCACATATCTCCCCCCCCTTCCAGTGGTTTCCCGCAATGCTTCCTCCCCCCTGTCCCTTTTAATGTTCAATTATCAATTTACATTTTCGCTATTAGTTTTTTTTCAGGTAACATTATATTCTTCTATTCAATTATTATCTTTCTCTATTTCTGTTCTTAATAGTTATCAAAATAAAGTAAATTATTCTTTGACATCCCAATTGGTCTCCACATATTCTCATTTTCTGGATATTTCTTACATGCCCAAGCAGAAATGGATTAATTAAATTATAATTATTTTCTATCTTGAACGTGGATATTTATTTATCTGTAGCATTTGTAGGCTGCATCCTATACTACCTGTTGTGAAAAATCTTAATAAAAATTATTATTTAAAAAAGGACTTCAAGCAATTGCATTTTCTGGATATTTCCTAAATGCTCAAGCAGAAAAGCATTAATTAAATTATAATTATTTTCTATCTTGAACGTGGATATTTATTTATCTGTAGCATTTGTAGGCTGCATCCTATACCTAGCTTACAGTTTGTTTGTTTGTTTGTTTGTTTGTTTAAAAAGAGTTTGGTGTAGTGGTTAAGTGCGCGGACTCCAATCTGGGAGAACCGGGTTTGATTCCCCACTCCTTCACTTGCACCTGCTGATGTGACCTTGGTTCAGCCACAAGCTCTGGCACAGCTGTCCTTGAAAAAGAGCAGTTTGTGTCAGAGTTCTCTCAGCCCCACCCACCTCACAGGGTGTCTGTTGTGGGGAGGGGAAGGGAAAGGAGTTTGTAAGCCGCTCTGAGACTCCAAGTGAAGGACGGGGTATAAATCCAATCTCTTCTCTTCTTCTTCTTCTAAAAATTCACCAAAACAGCCCTGACCTGGATAGCCCAGGCAAGCCCGATCTTGTCAGATCTCGGAAGCTAAGCGGGGCCGACCCTGAAAAGTACTTGGATGGGAGACCTCCAAGGAATACCAGGGCTGGGAGGCAGAGGCATGCAATAGTAAGCCACCTCTCTGAAATGTCCAAGCCCCACTAGGGGTCGCCAGAAGTCAAGCATGACTTCCAGGTGTGCTCGTGTGCGCGCGCACACGTACAAAGAAAATACAAAACAAATTCACCAAAATAGTTAAAAGCAAAATGTCTTCCATGCCCCTGGAAAAAGCAGAAGGTAGACCAATCTGATTTGGTGCTGGGAGTCATTCAGGTTTTGTTGCATATTCAAGAAATGCGGAAGGTGTCAACAAGTTCCGTAATAATCACTGTGCGGTTTTTATTTCTGGATTTCCTCCCCAGGTTGGCAGCCCAATAAGCAGGACAAACATCATCCATCCTCATGTTTATGTAAGTAGCGGCTTGTTTATCTTTGGTGGACTTCCCTTTTTTGCATGTTCAGTTTTGAATGTGAGCCGATCTGTCCAATGCTTTTTTATCTCGCCCTCTTTGGGGACGATGTACACGTCTCTTCCTTCCCCATTTTATCCTCACAACAAGCTTGTGAGGCAGGGTAGGCTGACAGAAGGTGACTAGCCCAAGGTGAGCTTCATGGCCATACGGGAATTTGAATTCAGGGCTCTCAGATACTAGTCTGATACCATGCTGACACTTGAGAGCAAACAAAATAACGTGCGCAGGATAATCAATAACTCAAAACAGTTTGCAGAGTTGGCTACACTTCTTTGATTAGAGAAAAGACATTATCTATATTTATTGTTAGCAGTTAGCTTTGACTGTGAAATCGTCTGAGCCACATGCTATTTTTTAAAAATTAATGTTTGTTGTGAAAATAGGAAGGGAAAAAACCTGCCAAAACTGTTGAAGAGACAAAAGAAAAATCATAATTATCCATCATATCTGATGCATCTAGGCAGGGGTCATTTTGTAGAAAAAGGGGTGCATGAGCTCATTAGCATAACTTATTTGCATATGCCACACCCCCTGACATCACCAGAAGTGTGTCAGAAGGCAACACCCACCGCTCAGGCTCCACTGGACTGTTTTGGATTGCTAGCTATTGGGGGAGGGATGAACGTGCAGATCTGTCCTCGCAGAGGAGGGAGAGCTTGTACCTGAATAAAACTTAGTCTTAAAGGTGCCACTGGACTGGGTGGAACTCTGCAACTTACCTGGCTGCTTCTTGCTCTGACTAAGGGCTGCTGGGAGCAGGGGGTGGGGCTTGTTGCATGTGCCCGCCTCTTGGGCTCTTTACTGCCAGAGCTCTGCTCCTGTACACTCCTGCAGGAAATGACCCCTGCATCTAGGGAGACATTTAAAGCAGAATCCGTTCTGAATTTACAGCACTGAATAAAAATGGGAATTTTAAAAAAAGGAAACGGGCCATTTCATCCTGCAATAAGATGGCGCAGGATGATTTCCTCGTCTATTTCTTAAACACGATATGGGTGTTTTTGTAGGCTGTGGTGTTCCTGTGGAAGGGGCAGTCTGTTCTCCAGCTCTAATGTCAAATTGCTCCCGTCCTCTGCATGTACATTGTGGTTGCTTCAAGTTTTTAGATTTCTTTGGCAGGGAAGTTATTTGGTTTTCCTCTTGGCTTTGGCCTGGGCTGGAGAGGGCTGGGCCCCAGCGCCTGTCAGCACCACATTCAAGCGCTGGGCAAGGAGAGCTTGTTCCCCCAGCAGGAGGCTGGACTACCTCCCTTTCGTGAATTGCCTAAGTCCACACAATCAGCATTGCTGTCAGATGGCTATCTATCCTCTGTTTGAAAATCTCCAAAGGGGAGAGCCCACCACCTCCCAAGGAAGCCTGTTCCACTGAGGAACTGCTCTAATGGTCAGGAAATCCTTCCTAATGTTTAGCTGAAAACACTTCTTTTTTTTCCCCTCAAAAAACTTTTATTTTGGATATAAAATATTCAACATTTAGTTACATTCCCATAATTCCAAATCCATTTCAAAGCGCTGACCCCCGAGAGCCACCCTTTGTCCCCGACCTTGGAGGAAAGAGGCAAACCATTGCAAGGCAAGCCCCCGTATCCCCACGTTGGCAAGGCGATGGGTCAGCAGCTGGTGGTCGACAGTGTCAAACGCTGCCGACAGATCTAACAACACCAGTGCTGCCACACCGCCCCGATCCAGATGTCTCCGGAGATGGTGCAGGATGATTTCCTCGTCTATTTCTTAAACACGATATGGGTGTTTTTGCAGGCTGTGGTGTTCCTGTGGAAGGGGCAGTCTGTTCTCCAGCTCTAATGTACATTGTGGTTGCTTCAAGTTTTTAGATTTCTTTGGCAGGGAAGTTATTTGGTTTTCCTCTTGGCTTTGGCCTGGGCTGGAGAGGGCTGGGCCCCAGCGCCTGTCAGCACCACATTCAAGCGCTGGGCAAGGAGAGCTTGTTCCCCCAGCAGGAGGCTGGACTGACGGAGCCCTCTGGACTGCCTGCCTGCTCCTGTAGCAGAGACCTCTTTCCACTCAGGTTGCTGAGGCTCGTTTAAGTTGGCAATGCCTTAAGTATTTTTTTTCAAGGCGCCTTGAACCAGCACAGCTGCCTCCAGTTTGTCTTGTTTAGAAATACTGTAACCAGCCCCCCCCTCCCCAAATAGGAATTGAGGTGGGGCTGTTGTAGCTTAGTTGTGGAGCATGTACTTTGTCTGAAGAGAGTCCTGGATCCAGTTAAAAGGTGATGTGAAAGGCCTCTACCTGAGGCCCTGGAGAGCTGCTGCCAGTCCGAGTTGACAGTACTGACCTCGGTAAACCAGTGGTCTAGCTCTGCATGAGGGAGATTCGTTGAGTCATAGAACCATAGAGTTGGAAGGGACCTCCAGGGTCATCTAGTCCAACCGCCTGCACAATGCAGGAGATTCACAAATACCTCCCCCTCCACACCCCCAGTGACCCTTTTCCATCCCCAGAAGATGACAAAAAACCCTCCAAACTAGCCTGGAGAAAAATTGCTTCCCGACCCCGAAGTGGCGATCAGCATTTCCCTGGGCGTGTAAGAAAGGGCTGCAAGAACTAAGCACTGATACAACCCTTCCTCACCTCCCTCTCGTGAATTGCCGAAGTTCACACAATCAGCATTGCTGTCAGATGGCTATCTATCCTCTGTTTGAAAATCTCCAAAGGGGAGAGCCCACCACCTCCCAAGGAAGCCTGTTCCACTGAGGAACTGCTCTAATGGTCAGGAAATCCTTCCTAATGTTTAGCTGAAAACACTTCTGATTTAATAGCGATCAATAAATAATAAAAAAGTATATTAATTTCAAACCGTTGGTTATGGTCCGACCTGTAGGGAAGAGGTAAAGCATCTGCCTGGCATGCAGAAGGTCCCATGCTCAGTCCTCAGCATCTCCAGTGGAAAGTTCTGGCAGTAGGGGATGTGGAAGAGCTCAGCCGGAGACCCTGGAGAGCTGCTGCCTGTCAAAGGGGACGGTACTGACCTTGATAGGCCAAGGGTCTGGCTTGCAAGTGACAAATTCTAACATTTGCTAGCAGATTTTGCCCGCTGTCTAGCTCAACACCTCCCCGATCAGTTTGCTAACTTTACAATGCACTGGTAGTTTTAGAACAGGATTGCCAGACAGGCAAGCCCAATTTTGGTTTGGTTTAGCAACATATACCACTGTTAATGTGTTGGGTTGGGACTTTGAAGGACCCAGGTTCAAATCCCAGCTTAGCCATGAAGCTCCTTTGTGGTCGTCAGCCACCCTGTCTTCGTGCCCCCTATAGAGGAAGGGGGGAGCCACGTCTACCTCCATGAACTTACGAATTAAATGTATGTAGATTATTGTCTGTTCTAGCTGTTGCGGAATGTGGATATATTGTCCGACCTTTGTTCCATTCCGTGGGTTCGCAGTTTTCTTCCCTGCCTCCGGTCCGAGTGGTCTTTGCGGTCACCATGGAAGGCAGTGCCCGGAAGGTGATCACGGTGCGCTCGGCCTTGATGGTGAGGAACAAGCTGGAGATTCCGATGGAGCTGAGGCTCGACAGTCCTTCCGCTCCTGACAGTAAGTGGGTCCAGTCATTTAAGACAGGGCTCCCTAACCTTCTTGAGCCTGCGGGTGCCTTTGGAAACGCTTCCGGTGGTTTCAGGTCAGTGGACGACCGTGGTTTGGAACAACACCTGCTGTGCCCGGAGGGTTTCAGCCTAAGCCTCCCGTGGCTGAGTAGATTATTTTTAACATCCCACTTATTTTCTAAATATTCTTTAAAATCCCTCCATTCTTCAAAAAAGTCTTTATCTTTGTTGTTCAATTTTTTTGTTAGTTTACACCTGCTGTGCCCGGAGGGTTTCAGCCTAAGCCTCCCGTGGCTGAGTTGGCAAGATCAGTGGTATTCAAATCACGCGGCAGAACCCTCGGGTGGGTTGTGGAAGCTCACCTGCTGGCGGTGAATTCCAGTAGTGCTGCTTTTATTTTGCTGATTCACAGAAAGAGCCTGATGCTAGCGTGCATATATTGCAAGGAAGAGGTGTATGCCCCCTGCCTCTCTCGACACACATGCTAAGTAGCTGGATTTCGCTAGGTGGAGGAGAGGATTCGTTTTTCGAACAAGTTCGATTCAGAGGAACGATCTCCTACTCTTCCTATCATGTGACTTCCTTCCGTGTGCTGATGGCCAAATGGTTCTTATTTTGCCACCTGGGGATTGGGGCAGGAGGGAGGTCCCGAATCCGGAAAGGCTGAAGACCACTGCTGCAGAAAGCGTGTTTTTGATTGAAAACAGTAACATTGAAAAGGAGACATGTTTGGGTAGAGGAAGGGATCGAGGAAAGGTGTTGCTCTAAAGACCACGTTGGTACATCTTGTTTGGTTGCAGAACCCGTCGTCCTGCCTTCCGTAATGCCAGGGGACTCCTTTGCTATTCCTCTTCACCTCACCTCCTGGCGCCTGCAGGCCAGGCCGAAGGGAATGGGTGTCTTCTTCTGCAAGTCCCCGATCCACTGGACAAACGTCCAGAAGGCCTCGGAGGTCAGCAGCAGCAAGCGAGAGTGCCACGCGATGGATTCTGAAAACAGTCGATTCTTCAGGTAATTTAATTCTGACTTCTTCCATCTGTTTCCTGGTACTTGCGGGAGGGCTGTTGAAAAATGGGAAGAAGGGAGAAAAAGCGGCTCAGAGTTACCCCGTTTCGGAGGGCCGTGGTGTAATACTAGGTAATTGACCCCAAATCCCGAGATAAGTTATAGAAAGGGGCTCTTTCATGATGTAATCAGAGAATCTTATAGTCTTCATTGGGCTTCCCTGTGGCTTGGAATAAAGCAAGAGTGTGAGCCGTGGATTTCCCCCTAATAATAAGGACAGTGATGCTGCGCTGCCTCTTACCTGGTTGGCTCTTTGGTTGCTGGAAAACTC